AATTTAATATATGAATAAATAAAATAAACAAATAAATAAATAGGGATTCACAAATATGAAAAGTTATTGTCACTATCAAAATAAAATATATATTATGCACATATGTTGAAATGAGAGAAACGAACATTCTGAAACCATAAAACTCGCACAATACTAAGTTCTAGACAAAATGTTACAGAATTAGGAAAAACTCACTCCTAAATCGATGGACTTGGTCCACTTGATGAGTCGCTCGTTCGTCCACACAATCAGGTCATTGTCCCGTTCTTCGCTGAGGTTGCGACGATGGTACAGTTTCTGTAAGACAGGAGAGTTGAGTAAAGACTTGTTTTATTATTTGTTTTAGTAAGAGTTTTATGGCACTTGCAACACAAATAGGTCATACGATTGCTGAAGATTAGAGAGGAGGTGTTACTACTAGAGGGTTAAAAAATACAAAGAAGAGAAGAGATAAAGGAGAGATAAAGACGATAGATGTTTGGTAGGAAAGAAGAAGCAAACCACACTAGAGTGCCTGCCAAGAGTAAAGACTAAAAGCCCATAGCCAGCCAAAAGCACATCTACCACACTTTACCAAGAACATACCAATGGAGTTATGAAATGAAGTCTCCAAACGCTCAAATTATGGCAAACTCATCTCTGCCAGAATTGGTCTCATAGCAGAAGCCACAAGTCGTTTTAATCCTTTATTCTTTAATTTTGTTAATAAAAAATCCTCCTCTAAAGAAGCATTGGCCATCAACAGACATTGACAGATACATTTTTATATGCTCGTGTAACTTGTTTCTAGAAAATTTTTCAGAGTACAAAGCCCCAACCACCGCCCCCCCCAAAAAAACCCCCAAAGCAAATACAAAACACCAACAAACAAACAAACAAACAAAAATTCTTTCTGATATAGAAGACGAGAGAAGACAGAAAAATTTAGGTGACAGTGCTTGTATATTATCTATAGCACATGCTGTCTCCCTGACAAGTTTTTAGGACCCACAGATTGACCTTTTAGGCAATTATGTGAGAACAAAGGAAAAGAGTTGGTTGATTTCTTCTGGTTAAATGGTTAGAGCATAACACCACCAATAAGTGTGTGCCACTGGGGCAACACATCAACTGTTGGCAGTGTAGGTATCGAGCTATGGATTAAAAGAACAAAAAAGATGCATGGCGAGCTAGACATCTCCAAACAAAAACATTTATACCAAGTGCACACTGCCAATCATATTAATTTGATTGAGTTGGAGCTAGCGGGATTTTTCCATCATGGATGGGGTAAAAGCTTCCAGTTCGGCACAATTTGACGAAATCTGACTATGACTTTCAAAATCAAATGCAATTGTTTTTTTAAGATCACGGGTCGAATCAGTCTCATTGTACCATAATGGCAGCTTTTGCCCATCCAAAGAGGACAATCCGGATGGCCCCGTCTCAATTTGATTGAAACTTATTAACAGGGTGCACTGTGTTTTAGTGAGTTAGTAAGTTTATTCAGTGTTTAAGGCCATTGGCCCACACCACACTCATTTGTTAAATAAAGTTTCCATGATGAAAAAGTACAGGTTGTGCACATATCTCTTTTCAGGGGCCAAACATTGAATATTTCTGCCACTGGGCCGAGTCAGGCTGGGAGGAATGAACATTTTAGGATATTTCTAGTACGAAGATCTCTTTGAAACTTTCAGTATTTAAAAAAAAATCATTTTGACAAACTGCTATGCAAAGCGTACGGATCGGATTAACGAGTAAAATTCCTCTTTGGAAGTGGTGGTACAGAGTTCCCCACGTCGTAAGGGTACGATAGTAAAACACGACGTACGGATAGGGTTAATCACTGTGGTTTGTACCTCCTTATTGAAGTCAATCCTCCTCAGCAGCTCGATGGCGTGCAGGATGGACGTCTGGTGGAACTTGCGGTGCACGGAGAAGTGCTTCTCCAGGTCCCGCCGCGTGAGCGTGTTGAGGATGGGCCCGTCGCACAGCTGTTCCTCAAACACCTCTGTGTACTGAGGCAGGCCGAGGTCAGGCAGAAAACGGTGGGCAACCCACGTGGGATCCATCTCACTGGCCTTGGGATATTTTCTGTTGGAGAGAAAAAAACAAACAGCCCCCAGGTAAATAAACATTTGAGTTAATAACCAATTTAAGGACGTTTTTGGCACTTTTAGATTTTGTACCCAAAGGTGGCCTTGGCACAGTGGGTTTACCCCTCTCAGAGATAAACAGTTAAGGCCTCTGACAGCAAAAAAAACCTACCCCATACTCCCTCCTCCCCTTCAACCATTGGTGAAGTCCATATGCCAAGCATCTGCTGGACTAATAACCACCACCACCACAACAACAACAACAACAACAACACCCTTTCACTTAAAAAAGGAGAAAAAGTTTTCCATGAGCTAGTTGAGGAAATAAAGGGAAAAAAACCCAAAACTTTCTCTCAGCTAGCCACCACAAGGTTTTAAAAAAAAATAAAAAAAGAAGCTTTCCCAGATCAGGCTACGTACATGTGTCTACTGAACTGACACACTTGACGAACGGACTGAAGGCACTCACATGTCGTTGGGATTCCTGTGCTGCTCTATGGCCAGCCTCAGCTTGCGTCTGTGCATGGTGTTGGTCACACCCAGGGCAGAGCTCAGCTCAGAGTCACTCAGCCCCAGGAGAACCTGAAAGTAGATCATGCAGAAAAGACTTAGAAAATGTTTTGCCAGCAAATAAAATGAAAGTAAACAAAGTAATGTTTAAAAGAAAAATAGAACATCTCTCTCCTCCTCTCCCCCACCCCCCTTTCCAACTAGCTAAAAATAGAGAGAAAAATAGTCAAACGAAAAAAGAAAAACTTAGAAAAATAAAATTAGATCCCAGCCCCAAACAATATTTTCAGAAAAACAAACGGAAAAAGATAAAGGCTGAAAAAAGAAATTCGAAAGGCAACAAAACAAGAAAACCCAAAGAATAGAACAGTGCTTAAACACACAATTATGAATAACTTACATATGACTATAGTGGTTCTGTAGTTGAGAGTAACTAAATCATTGATCAAGAGCTTTGGAATGTAATTCAAGGCTTTTGCAGATCAAGAGACAGACATTGAGAGACTAAAAGTCTACAGAGAAGAGAGGTATAAGAGAGAGAGTGAAAAAGAGAAGACAAAAATGTCTCGGCAGTCATGAAAAAAACATACTTGGAAAGCTTTATCATTATTAGATGATAAATAATCTAGTTAAACAGGTTTTTTTTCATTTATCTCAAAAGTAGCAAAAAAGAGATGTACCATTTTGCCAGGGTAGTGACAGTATGTATGGTGGTATTCCACTAAACAGCAGAATACACACTGACAGAGAAAATTGAGTAACCATTCCCCACATTTTCCTTTCTTACCCATCCACTCTTGACGTTGAGCAGATAGTTATGAGTGTACATCGGCAGACAATGAGAGAGAAAGATTATAGTTAGTATGAGACTCCGTCATATGTCACTCTTCAAAACAGAGTATGGCGAAGTCTTGCAATAAGCTGCCAAAATATAGACACTGAAAGAGCAAAACAAGTGAGCACAGTCCCCACAGTTCCCTTTCTTACCCGTCCACTCTTGACGTTGAGCAGACAGTTCTGCGCGTACATGGGCATGGCCAGGGTTATCTCCAGCCAGGCCAGCACCTGGTGAGCCCGCCAGTCCTTCATGTGCACGCCCACCATGTGCTCGATGCTGCTCAGCTTCTCCTGGTAGTTCTCCTGGCTCAGCACGCACAGCTTGGAGCTTGTGTCTGCCGAGCGAGGACACAACAATTTTTTTTCAAACAGTTATTGAAATTGTTTTATACTCCCCCCCTTTCCCTTTTCATTGACACAATTTTTTTTCATTCCGCTTTTCACCTCTCCACACCCCCTTCTCACTAACACAATTTCTTTCCTTCAGTTTTACAAGCCTTCTCACTAACACAATTTCTTTCCTTCAGTTTTACAACAACTACCCACAAATCCAGCTTTTCTGCTTTCTCACGGACGCAATTTCTTTCATTCAGCTTTATAACCCCCACCCCCCACCGCTTTCTCATTTACACAATTTCTTTCATTCAGTTTACTGAAGCTTCAAAATCGAGGTATAATAAGCCTTAAACTTACCTTCGACAATAACGCTTTCAGCATGGGGTGCTGCGATGGAGCGCCTCATGCGACCACGACTGAACACCCGCGACAAAGAGCCACCAAAAGTTTTCTTCTTCTTCTTGCTGGGTTTCGGCTCCAGGACGGGAATCTCAAAGTCCGAGCTCTGCGTGAACCACTTGAACAAGGGCCCGTTGGGGTCGTTCCAGTCTGAGTTGTTGGGTGAGCTGTGGGACAAGCCTGAAGCAACAATGTCAGATAGATTGGTAAACATTTTTAGCAGGATTTTGGGGGTTTTTTTTTGTTTGTTTCAGTAAGCGCTTTACGGTACTTGCAACACAATAAGATCATAAAAGTGCCGAAGATTAGAGGTATTACAAGAGAGTAACAAGCCTGAGGAAACAACCTGAGGTTGATTGTATACAGTTTAACCCTTATAGCAGGCATAGGCAAACTATGGTTCATAAGTAGTTTTTAGTCAGGCCAGCAAGTCTATGCAGTAATTGGTAAAGAATGTGAGCCATGGTGAGTTTTTGATAATTAATAAAAACAAACTGTCTGTCTTGAAAGTCAGAATTGAATGTTTCCAGCTGGGCTAAACCCCGTAATTCTAATGACATATGCTCTTGTGTCAGTTTAACTCTCACTTTTTGAGAGCTTGGGTATTTCAACTGATTTCACTCAAATTTCTCTGGCTTTAGCCTGTGCAGGCAAATATTCTGAGCAACTTAACCAGCAATAGTAGTAGTAATAGTAGTAAAAGAAAGTTGTGGCAGCAACAACTACAGCAGCAACAGTGGCAGCGGTAGAAACCGACCAGAAGAGACAAAACTAAGAAGTAAGTACACACCTTGCGTGTTGAGCTGGGGAGTGCTGAAGCTGCAATTCAAAACTGACGATTCCTCCATGGTAGAGAATCCGTTCTCGTCGTCAATGATAATACTGTCGTCCATTATGCTGTCCAGATTGTCATCTGTGGTGGGTGGGGTCGATGAAGACACTTGGCTGTCTTGACTTGAAAGCTGATCTTTCGCCTGAAGGAGTAATGAATGGAGTATTGGTATTTTATTCAGGAATTTTGGCGCTCATATGCAGTTGCGAGCGCCGTAAAACCCTCTACTCTAAAAAAAAAAATTCAGGAATTTTCGGCCACAGAGTCATGTTTGGAATTAATACAATCAGTAAAATGATCGAAAGAGTCATTGTATTCTTTTGCGTGGGAAACAACCTACGGTTTTAGAGTTTAGGTGTGTGTGTGTTTTGTGTTGTGGGTGTGTGTGTGTATGAGTATGTGTGTTTGTGTGTGTGTGTGTGTGTGTGTGGGTGTGTGTTTGTGTGTGTCTGTGTGCACACATGAAAGTATGTATGAGTATGTGTGAGTGTGCGAGTGTGCCTCTGTGTATATGTGTAAGTGTGTGCCTGTGTGACAAAATGTGTGTATCTATTCGTGTGCCTGTGTATGTGTGTAAGTGTGTACCTGTGAGTGTCTGGGTATGTATGTGTGTATGTGTGTGCAGAAGTGTGTGTAAAAGTGTGTGTGTGTGTGGGTGGGTAACTGTGTGCTTGTGTGTGAAAGTGTGTGTCTGTGTGTGTGCGTGTTTGTTTGTGTGTGTGTGTGTGTGTGTGTGGTATGTGTGCGCGCGCGTGTGTGCGGGCGTGCGTGCCTTCGTGATTCCGGGAAAGCGATATGTTGTTGCATTCATGATCACATCTATCTTTGCATGAATGCACTTATGTTAGAGTGGATCCTATGTCTGTGTAGAAAAGCGCGTAAGACACAAGAGTCAAAATCAAGACTTGTGAGCTGCATCCGGCCAGATGAACAATTACATACCAGTAAGAGAATTTCAAGGCAGTTCATCCTGAGAATCTCCGTAAAACAGAACTTTATTATATACACAACCAAATTCGTTACCAAAAAAAGATGCTAAACATCTGGCTCTGACAAATTGGCATAAGAGTGAAAATTGGTACGGCTTGGTTTGCTATATCTTACGTCAGTTTTAACTCGTATTATTGTTTTAAAAAAAGGTTAAATTTTCCACTGCTCAATAAGTGTTTACATGTCACTGCTTATCCAGTTCGGCCCACAAGTTTATGCATAATTTGAGCTTTGGCCCTCTGTGCGATTGATTTTTGACACACCTGATCAGTGGTCATGGAATAGGTAACATCACAAGCAGTACAATGCTATAGCTGCTCCTCCCTCCTCTTCAGGAACCATGTAAGGGTGTAAGACGTTGGTTAGCTTGATATGTCCCCCCTACCCCCTTTCACATGGTATAAGATGTTACCTCAGAGAGCTCCCCCTGCAGTTCCTTGATGTGCATGTCCTTAGTGTCCAGCTGCGCCCGCAGGAACATGGCCCTCTCCGTGGCATCCTTGGCCTTAGTGATGATGTCCCATTTCTCATGCTCCAGGGTCTCCTTCTCCTTGGCCAGCTGGAGAGACAAAGCAGACATGGCCTGGGCTTACTACAAGGACGCTGGTCAAAACCCGAAAAAAAGTGTGAAAAAAAGGGCACTATATAAACATACAAGAGAAAATTATATTGGGAAAATATATTTGAAATTGTCTCTGACAACCATCCATTGTTGAGGAGAAAAATGGTTGTCTTGGGAAATACAGTTTAAACTGTAGAAGACAGCCAACCATTACAGAGGAAAAAAGTGGTTGTCTTAGAGTAATGGAAGTCTTGGACAGTGTTATTATGATGTAGAAAAAACACAAGGAGGAAAGTGTCATTTGTACAGTTGACCATTAGAGCTGGTTTGACTGTGTTTTCAAATTCAGAGAAAATCAAGCTTTTACCATCAAAACACTCTGCACTTCGGGTGTTTTTTTGGCATTCTCTTTTTAAAAAGTGTTTTAACCAGGACTGAAGACATTATGGTTTTAGAGGAAATTTTGGATGAAGCACAAATGCCGTAGGCAATAATTCAATAATTTCAAGTTTGTGACTTTTAGTTTTTCATAGCAGTCTTCCCCATAACTGGATCAAACATCACATTTAATATTTTAATCTTGTTCAATCAGCAAAATGTCAGTGTGGAAAAGCAGAACAACCTGTGAAACGCATCCTCCAGTACAGCAGGACACACAGAGCCTTAAGACATAAAACACGGCCACCCCATTAACACTGCAGGAAAAGTTGTATTGGTCAAAAGAGGAACTCAGAAGGACAGCCCAGTATACACAGATACTTGTCTTCAAGTGTGATGCGATTGAGCAGAAGAAGCGAGAAGGCTTCACAAATCAGTAGGCCTCCTGCACACTCAAACGCTTACAAGCACACCCTTGCCAGTTAAAAATACCTGTTTGATCATATCATCGCTCTCTTTTACTCTCTGTTCGTAGTTCCTGATGAAATCCCTCAGCTCTGTCTCCTTCTCCTCAAGAGTTGTGTACAGCTGCTTCATCTGGCTCAGCAGATCAAGCTTTTCGCCTTTCAGCCTCTTCCGGTCACTTTTCATCCCTGATAATAATAAAGGGAAGACATTTTCACCTTAAACACCACTCAAAGTGAGACAAACATGGGCATAGCAAAACACACACACATAGTAGAGCAAACAAGATTTTCCTGTCAGACATTTTTTTCTTTTATATGTATAAAATCTTTGTATTTAAAACAAGTACAAAGTAAAATTTGCACATAACCAATGTGAACAGGAAAGGAAATAGAATAACACCATACACAAACTATAAGCCAACTGTTTTGTTGGATCCTTACAAAATGAAAGACTTTTGAATTTCCACTTTCTGTAATACAAGACTTTATGAGAATTCTGAAAGACAGTACAGATTTAGTTCTGACTGTACAGGAAAATCCATTAAATTAATTCTGGCTGATAAAAGTTAAGAAATTTTGCGGCTGATAAAAAGACCATTGTTATAAAATGAGCGCCATTACCTTGTAAGACTTCCTTGGCTCTGTTCAACTCCTGTCTTGTTTGAATCAGCTCCAGTTTCAATTCCCCATAGCTGGGCTTTTTTTCTGCAGCCGCACCTTCCACCTTGACTTGCCGCAGGTCATCCAGGTCCTTGCGGAGAGTGCGGAGCTGAGTCTCCAGTCTTGAGTTCTCTGTCTTCATGCTTTCGTGCCCATTCTACATTGTGGAAAAAGACCATTTGTAACTTGATTCAGCACACATTAACTCACCATTCAGGGGTACCTGGTTTCATATAAAACTAAGAGAAAGATATAGCAGTAGTAAACAATTAGAAAGAGAAAACAAGAACAAAACAACAACTCCCCCTTAAAAAACCCCCAAAACAACACGACTTTTGGAATGGAAAGGAGAAACAGATTTCAACAGAGTCAATCTCCTTAATATGAAACACTTTACTAAAATAGTGTTACAAACAAATAAATTTCCCTTAAGTGATATACATAAACATTCATAACATTTACCAAGGGGAAAAGTCAATTATAATATAATGATTGACTTCTATTGCTGTATTAATTTGGATAGTCATGTA